ACAGATTATTAAGCCCTCTGAGGGAAATTTGTGATTTTGAGCTGTACAAAATAAATTGAACTATAAAAACAAGCAAAAACAATGCACTGTACCATTAATGAAAACTCAACCTACAAGCGTGATTTGAAAACTATGGTCATTACATTTTTGATCTCCAAACATCTTACTTTGCACAATTAGATCTGAGAAGTCTATATTTCTGGTGGTGTGCCCACAAACGCTTTTAATAAGGTCAGTGTTTGGGCCGCTGTATTTATAGAATCCTGCTTATGGCCAAGGTTGCCAGTAGGTGGCGCTATGACTACGAGTTAATATTGACATGCAGAAGTCCTCAAGACATGACTCATCAAGCATGTCAAGTTTTGGACAGTTTTGACAAAGTACAGTTTAGTTACAACAGCTTGATGCATGATGGTGAATCATATAAAATGGCCGCAACACCACGTCAATGCTGTTTCATGAAACATTGAGCTTTTGATGAGTTCGCTGAGGTCTCTAGATTGAATTGCCCAAATTTTAAGTTGTTCTGATGAATTCCCTAGGAGGAGTTCGTTAAAGTGCAGCGCCTGGAAATGGCAAAAAAAAAAAAAATATACAAAATGGCAGACTTCAGACTGGGTTTAGAGCATGAACCCAAACAACTTTTTTAAGTCTACATGTAATATATGTGCCTACCAAATTGTGTACATCTAGGCGAAACATACTGCGAGGGCTGTTTCATCTCAATTATGTAGGGGCGCGATTGAGCAGACTTGTCACTCTGAAGCGTTAAAAATCAGATCAGATAACTACATTTAGGACTTTAAACGTGTCTGCCAAATTTGGAGCAGTTTTAGCCCCTCAAAAACACCTTTTTTTTTTTAATGGTGAAAAATGCGTTGCAAGGTCAAAAACTTTGTGGGCTGGCATTACGAAATTTTATGTGGATCTGATTTACCTACTAAGAGAAACAAGCCAAAATATAGAGACTAACTTCCCGTTACCAGTAGGTGGCGCTATTGTAGATGTCTTCAGGCCTGGACTCTCAAACGTGTGAAATTTAGAAAAGATCCGATTATGTGGAATCGAGTTACAGCGGTTTATTCGTTCACGGTGAAGGATTGAAGTTTGCCGCCACCTGTAAACTAATTATAATAATCTTCACAATGAAGCATTATTATGTCTTAAGGCTTCTTCTCAGACTACATTTGAGAGATTCGATTAAACCGATAGGATGATGTAAAAGTACACAACCTATGACTTCCTGTTGCCACTAGGTGGCGTTATTACTGCAATTCTAAATTGTCACGTAAATGTCTTCAGGGTCAGGATGTTATGACATGACAAATTTGAAGCAGATTAGACAATGTATGGCCGAGTTACAACAACTTCCCGTTTCATGGGGAATTATGTTTTTTTTTTGCCTCCACGCCACGGATACATAGTTTGATAACTTTTTGATCTTTTCACTGCCAAGGTCTCAAGATCATAAAGGCCAAATTTGAAGTCAATCAGGTTAAATCACTGGGAGGAGTTTGTTGTTAAAGTACAGCTCCTTGAAATGGTCAAAAAATGTGTCATAAAACTCAAAATGGGCGACTTCCTGTTGGATTTAGGGCATACCTCCAAGTGGATTTTTGTACGTCCCATATACCTACAAAATGGCATACAGCTAGCCGAAACCTAATGTGGGGGCAAGTCAAAAGGGGGCGCTATGGAGCAAATTTCTCATACCGGAGCTCGACACCCATTGCAGATGGCCATTTTCACCACGACTGACGTGCCAAATTTCAAGAGTTGACCAGTAGCCCAAGCACCTCCTTTTTGCACTCAAATACATACAATAATAATAAAAGATAAAACAACAATAGGTCCTCCGCGCCGACTTAGTCTGTGCTCGGGCCCCAACAGTGAATACAGGCCAGTTAACAACATGTAGTCAGTGGATAGGAGAGCATGCGTGCGTGCGTGAGAGAGAGCTATGTGAAAGGATAGGAAAGAAAGTAAGTAATAAATAAGCAAGTAATTTATTATAAAACATCAATAAACAAGTGCGGTATTTCAAATGATTGACGGGCTGAGTCACGGTGATCCCAATACGACTGGAAAGGGATTTACAAAACTCAAAGCACCTGGCTCTGAACAGAAAACATGGAGGACCATTTACCAAAAGGAGCAAGTGTTGCCTTACGTGTTAAAATGTAATTAAATGTTAGTGCGCTATGTGGCATTTGTAACACAATACAGAATCCAGCCAACATTTCTAGCTGACCAACTACTTGAATTGTCAGCTACTTAAAACAACCGTGTAATGATCTCCATTTAAGCTTTGGTTAGGCTAACAGGAGCTAACTTGGCTCAATTTAATTATATGCAAGTAGCTAGGCGGCTAGCGATCTAGCTGGCTTTATAGATGTATACAATGGTCTGTGGTTAAAGTTTTAAAGGAGAGTTAATTGGAATCATGCCATACATTTTACTCGTGAACCAAACACCAAGCCGTTCATAGTGTTTGAATCTATGATTGTGCTGCACTGGAGCCAACGCCAGCTTGCTATCCAGCTAGCTAGCGAAATACATCATATGCCTGTGAACGCAGCGGACATGTGCAAAGACTGCTCCAATACTTTGGAAATGTGATGTTGCATACAATTATTACTCCGTTCATTCAGAAGTGGACAGTTTGGGGTTTGAGTTTCTTTAGGCTACATTGTTGTCATTTGTATGTTTTTGTATTTATAAAAACTATTCTGCCTCGGCGGTTACTAAGAGGGTCACAAAGACAACCTAACCTCCCACCTTCTACCTGTAGAGTTCACTCTCCCTCACGGTCCCCACTGTTACACAAACCATCACTAACAGCAAGGCAACATACAAAGCATGGAATAATATAAGCATGTAAATGATATCTTTTAGCATGTTTACGATGCACGTTCCATTCCAACTCCACGGCAGCCGAAGCTGACCGTGATTCAGCAGCAAGAGACACGGCTGCTGGAGAAAAAGTTTGCTTCAGATTGATGATGTACAGGCTCATTTCTGTTGAACTTGATACAATAGCTTTGTTACAGGCCACATTATGAAATGTTTTTGTTAGTAGACAACTATGTACTTCTTTGTTGGTGGTGTTGCTTTATTAAACAATGAAAACCTCGCTTGGACCCCTCGTTGTCTCTGCTGTGCAAGCCTCAAACAAAAACACACGTTGGATGTTTTGGTACAAATAATGTAGTTACAATATTTAATTGAAACTAGACTTTGGAAACGGGTTGCCTGTATTTGTTACTTGTATTTTAAGCAGTTTTCAGGAACAAATGTGGCCCAACCATTGTGCATTGATAATCATTTATCCAATTACACTACAACTAGCTAAACCAGAACTAAAACACTTTCACATTTGACAGATTATAAATTAATTTAAGATGTAATGAACATCTTGAGTAATACCATTTGGGAGAAGTGGGGCCTAGGCTATTTGTCAATCTACATCAAATCCACCTCTGAGGTCCAAAGGATCCTGAATCTTGGCTTCAAACTGATCCAGATCTCTGCCCCATGTTTTTGAATGCACTCATGGAGCATTTGATTGGAGTGAAGGTAGGGTTGGATCACCAAATCTGAATCCAGACCTTTAGGATCAGGATTCTTTCGATCCGCTTTAAAATACCCAATGTTCAGATCAGACCAGAGTTTAATCCAACCCGACCAATATAATACTTTAGGGTGATTTTGAAATACCGGCCCCAGGGGATCACCAAAGTCTGTACAAAAGTCCATGGCAATCCACCCGGTATTTATCGTTCAGTCTGCACATCATTCAGTCTCCGACATATCAGAGGCTAGACCACGGCCTTTCATACCCAGTGAGCTGAGGAGGAGCATTTCATGTTCTCTTCGACACAAATTGAACTTTACTTTACGTGCTCTCGTCAACTCTGCTCAAAAGCTGACTTTACTTACAAATGAAGACATTGCAACAGGCCAAAAAAAAAAACAAGGCAACATGCTCATAAGAGCTGAAACAGATAAGGGCACAGCCTCCATCTTCTCTGGGTTCTTAGTTTGAGGAGTGAAAGAGTGACGATGGTGAGAGACTGCCAGTCACTGTGTCTGCTTTGCAAATACTTACATTTATATAAAGTGACAGTTCAACAACTCAAGATACACGATCAGAGGGTTGGGCAATGTCAGCAATGTTCCTGTATTTAAAGCAAGATCAAAGTCCAAATGGCCGTGACAATGAAGTGAGCCTGGGTCACAAAGGTGTGATGAGGTCACAGGCAGGGTGGGGCTGGTGGATGCAGCTCCACCTGACAACCATTGCCTTCTTTATATCGCCTTTCTCTCACAGACAAGTCACACACAAAGAAATCAAAATTAATCAATCTATTCAATTTTCAAGAGAAAATGTATCCACACTATTTTGATAATGAATTACTGGTTTTAAGTCACTTTCTAAGAAGAAGTAGTTCCATGTCTTCAATGTTCTGCTTTTCTTATGCAATAAAAAGGGAATTTCTGAGCTGTGGCTGACATACACTGTCGGTCAAGTAAACTGTTCTGAAACTAATTTAAATGCAGTTAACGTTTAATAATATAAAGTTACACTACACGGATTTGTAAAAGTCAGATATGTTTTAGATGTGATGGGCGCACATCTGACCATCAGGAGGCCAAGAAATACACCAGAACAGAACAGCTCCAGGAAACAGCTAAAGAGAAGCTCGAGGACACACACCAGTTTAAAGGAGCAGCAAACTTTCCAAAAGATGTCATAGAATAAACAAGGAGACATCTCTAATCAAAGTGAAGATGTCCACGTCTCTTCACATGCATCCGAGAGTGTGACCGTTTAGAGACACACACATCCTCGGTACGTCGCGTGCATAGCGCCCGCAGATCAAGCAGCAGAGGGACGCTAACATCTGGGAGAACGGCTCTCTGTCTCACACCAGGTCGGACCTTCAGATGGCCTTTGAACTGCGCACGTACCAATCAGAGCTCCACAAGACGCTGCTTACCTGAGATCATCTCCTGCTTGGCTTCATCCAGGTGACTGGAAATCACGTCCCCCATGGCGGACGAATCTCAAAATCCAAGATGAATTCCGCTGGTCTTCAACAAGTACGTCAGACAAACGCAGGGTAAACCGCCCAGAGTCCTGTAGAGTCCTGAAGAAGAGACGCGCAAACAGTTCACAAGGAACGTAGAAGGAAGTTAAGAACGTTAGCCGAGCAGGAAAGTGACGGAGAGACACGCCCTCTTTTAAAGGAGGCTCGAGGAGGAAGACTCCCACCTTCCAGCGGCGGTGCGTTCACGTCACGAGGGGAAAATGAGGTCATGAGTCTAAATTACTTAAAAGTCACCTAGTAACAATTGAAACAACTGGATTCAGAATATGAAACACCTTGCTATGTATGAATTATACAGTTGGCCCCACTTTGAGGTGATGCATGTCTCCAATGTATCACTGACTGAGGTGCACCGTGGTGTAGCTGCTAGAACTGTCGGCTCATAAAAACAAGATATACAGAAGAGGAACTAGGTCATTACTTGTCCTCGAGGACAACCCACAGCTCATTTTAGACCCTGGACCCCAAAGTGCATAGCTTTCAGTAATCTTTCAAAAAAAAGTTATGACGAACAGTTCTCTGATAATTTCACAAGAAGGACAATGCCATCGTAATGATTGATTAAAGTACCCTCTTAATTTATTTCACTGTAGTCATGTCGTACTTTTACTTTGGAAAATGTCAGAATTTATCTAATTCTTGGTATTGTATCTATATGTATTTTTGTAATTATTAATTAAATTTATTTCCAGCAACCAAAGATCAAAGATATCTTCCCCACAATTTTGTGATATTTTATTTTGTATTTATTAGGGACACAGGCCACATGCTTGGATTTAATCACATTTCCATGTATGTATTTTGTATGTCCCTCAATAACACCTTATTTTGAAAACTGGACGTCGTTACACGTGCGTCTTTCCGCTACCTTCACAAAGTCCATCGCTGTCAGCTCACCCGGGCCGTTTGAATACATTCACCGTCCAATGGATTAACCGAAACATGTTAATTAAAGTCAGAAGTCTGTTATTCACGTTCCAACGGAGGTGATTTTCTTGTAGCATAAGCCAACCAGTGCACAATTACCTGCCTAATGGTTTTTACAGAAAACGTGTTTTATATGGATTTCCATGAGATTTAAGCTACATTTGTATTGTTCTCTTGGACATGCAGTCAAATCAAGAACACGTGACCTATACCTGGACCTGGAGGTGATCTGTGTCTGTCTGTGATGGGAACTGGGACTGAGGACACTTGTACTGGAATGATCACAGTTTAAGGACACTGCAACATGGTGACACTCTCTATATTTACTTCTTGAGGTAACAGGTTTCCATGGATCATGGATCGTGGTCCTGCCTCCTGCTATTGTTCTGCTGACACCCACTCTTCTCTCTCTCCTTCTGTATGAATTCATGCTCATTACAGACTTTGCTTCTTCCTCGGAGTCTTTGTGCTTTCTCTCCTCACAGGTTTCATGGACCGTGGTTATATCTGGACTGTAGTCCTGCCTCCTGCTGTGACCCCAGAGGGTACCGTGACAGAGGATGCAGCATGTGTACAGATTTTAAAGTCCTCTGAGGCAAATTTGTGGTTTTGGGCTATACACAATATATTGAATTGAATTGAACAGACATTGTCTATTATCCACATGCACATTTTTGCTGATTTATTTGCCAAATCATTCAATAATCTAGGTGACAGCAAGCAAGTAATGTAATTTACTTACTGGTGAACTTGACAGAGTACAAAATGTATATATTCTTTTGTGATCACACTTGAGAGATACACACTGGATCTATTGTCTGGTGTATATGTGGCATTGCATCACAAATAAGCAGGTGCATGTTCACTTCTTTACCTACCTGAAGAAGACCATCTATGGTTGAGATGATTCCAGTCATATCCACATCAAATATGGAAGCTGGTACAAAACATGGCTCAGAGAAATTGTGTGCACACACATTTGCGATGGTGTTTTTCCTCCTAAAGAGTGAGAGCTCTTAGCTCTTGTCCTCCTCTGTGCTGATGTGCTGCTTACTTCTGCTCTGCTGCCCTCTCATGGAGGCCAAACCCAACAGTAACTAAAGTCTTAAGCGCTCTCCTACTCTCATATCTCTGTGGACACCAAGTCTTCTTCTGTAAATTCCAAAATAGCATAGTTTCATGTCTGTCATTTCATTGGCATCACATTGACTGTTACTCCAGGATTGTATGGTCACATCGAATCAGCCTTTAAATGATCATTTCCCTTTGAATAAAAAATGCTGTTGAACTTTTGATGTTAAAAGGTTTTATTATGGTTTCTTGTCAGCCAGTTCGGTAGCAAACACTGATTGTATACCAGTACAACCAGTGTGAGCGGTGTTGGCATGGTGTTTACATACAGATGTGTGTATAGTGGTCACTCAGTCTCTGCTCCAGGGTCCTTGCAGTTTCACTGATGTAGTGTTCCCTCCAGGTCTCACATATGATGCATGACACTATACACCACTACAGTCTCCCTGCAGGCATGCTCCTTTACTCCTGATGTAGCAGCAGAGAGCTTGAGGTGTTGTTTGCAGTCAGTGCTGACTTCCTGTTGAATGAAGTCAAGACGAGCAGTCAGTTGATGACTGGAGAAAGCTCAAAGATGAGATGTACAAAGACCATCCTCGAGCAGAGACAAGGAGCTCCCTTTGATATGTGACCACATGTTGCCATACTTAGGTCAAGTCAAACATACACAGTGGACCTTGAGTTGAGATTATTTAGGTCCACACAAACTGATCCCAAGGTCAAGAATACGTTTCCACATAAACTCCTCGTTGAAACACGCAGTGCTCTATTTAATAATGAATACTTATGTTACAAATGGCCCTGCACTACTTTCCTTCTAAAGGCTTTTATTTTGGATTAATTGGAACGGAAGTGTGTTACTTATTCTTACGTACTTCACTGTAATTCCTCCGCTGATCTGTTTTCTGTGCAGCGAGGTGGACATCACCAGAGGGCTCATCATGGCACCACTTGGACTAAAAGCTATTGTTGGAGAAAGTAAGTGTATTTTATGTATTAGAATACTTGTACTTCCGGTATACTAACGTGTTGAAAAATAATCCCCGTTTGATTTAATGAGCATTATTCCAAAATCATGTAAAGTATTGTTGAGGCATGGAGGGCTATCCCTTCACCAAACCTGAGGTATGAGCGCTGCTTGCGTTATGTAACCGTTCTGGTTATTGACTGTAACATGGGTCAGTGCAGATCTTGGTGACACTGTTTTTTTTATTGTCATCATTTTGGGAACTTTCGTGCGTAAAACACGCACAGATCCATCCGAGCCATGCGGCTCGCCAAATGGTAGTTTCTCCAGATTGTAGTGTCAGTGATATGAATTACAAATATGAATATGTCCGGTGGTGTTGTCGTTAGACGAAGTTTCTATCCTTCATGGCCGTGTATAGTATGAGGGCACGGAGCCCTGCTTTGGTGTAAATCCTGCCTCGCTAATCTGTGTCTGTGCGGATTAAGAGCTTGACATCATTTTCAGAGGAGAGGTGCACGAGGACAGAATCAACTCCAAAAGCAACTCTAACAAGTAAACACATGTGTGTTTCTACTGTCTGCAGCATCTCAACATCAGCATAGAGCAGTCCATTATCAAACATCATGCAGTCTTTATTATAATGTAGAGAGAGATTAAATGCGTCAGCTCACTTTGGTGTCACGCTAACCTCTCCGCACACTCAAACAAATCCAATAGAATTTAATGACAATTTTTCTTTCGAGGCAATAACAAATCACGAGAGTGAAAAGTGTCAGGAAATATTCATGGCTGCAGTTTTACATTTTAGTTTCAGTGTTTGATTAGATAGTGCCTATTTCCAATAAGACACTCTTTTAGGTTGGTTAACTATTGGCCTCCTCATCACTGACATCTTCATCAGAGAAGGAACAAAGAAGACACGAACAAGGAAAGCAACAGTCCATAAGAAAATCAAAGAAATAAGTTAATAACAGAAATAAATCTGCAGAATTGAAACTGCAGCACACGGTAGAGTACTTGCTCTGAATGAAGCATGCAGCACACCACCTGCTGCTCTGTGTGGCTAATGAGATTTTGAAGATGAGGAAACATCTCGGTGGATACCTTTATTTTGTTCAGATTTAAATCAACTTTATTATCCCACATGGGGAGATTATTTTGGTCCAGTGCTCCAGACATGAGGACATAATAAACACAATTAAAAACATTAGAATAACATACACAATAAGCCTACAACACACTCAAAAATAAAGCACATCTGATAAAGATAAGATAAGATAGACTTTATTGTCCCGAAGGAAATTTTTCTTGGAAACATACATACAGTGTACAGTGTCTGCTGTTAAAAAACAATACAAATAACATATTGCATACATACATTACATACACAGACTGTCGCCAGTCCACATACCCGCACACACAGTACCTACAGTACTTGCAAAAGACTGCCAACAGCCAACAAACACATTTCACACTGCCCATTGTATAACGCACCAGTAGTGTGTAGTTAAGATATTAAAAATATGTTACATATGTTACCCCAGTTACAGGGGTTAAGCTCTGGCTAGCTTGCCATTTAGAGCTTTGATGGACAGGGGGACAAAGGAGTTCTTAAAGCGGTTGAGCTGCACTGGGGGACTCTGAAGCGTCTGCCTGAGGGAAGAAGCTGGTATTCAGGGTGGAGGATATGAGCGGGGTCTGAAATAATCTTCTGGGCCTGTCTGATGATAGTTTCATCAAAGACGGCCTGGAGTGTGGGATGCTGTCTGACTCCTATGATCTTCATGGCTCTTTGTGTTAGTGGGTGATCTCGGCTTTCAGCTGAACACTGAGGTTGCCAAACCAGGCCGAGATGCCAAACCGCAGGACGCTCTCAACTATGGCGTGGTAGAAGAGGAGCAAGACTTTCTGGTTGACACCAAAGACCCTCAGCCTACGGAGGAAGTGTAGCCGCTGTTGGACCCTAGTGCAGACATTTTCTACCTGAACACTCCATGTCAGTTGATTGTCTATGTGTATGCCCAGGTATCTGTAGGAGTCAACCTGTGCAATGTTCTGGTCATGAATAACCACTGATGAGTGGTCTCCAATGTATTTTGGGTCAAATACCATCATGTCTTTGTGGTAGGCTATTTGTCCTCCCCCTCCTCCAGTGTGATTGGACGGCTTGATAAAAGTGACAATGACGAGGAAAGTTTTTCACCCAAACGTGACAATTTTTTAGCTCATGGTGACTTGAAAAATGTAAAACGTGCTCAATGCAGAATAGAAGCTCAGCACCTTGTCATGTTGCTGGTATTTGCTGCATAGTGTAAAAATGCACCGCACCCATTGCAAATAAAGAAATACACTGGACCCAAGAGAGAATGCTTTGGTGGACACAAGGCCAGGAGAACTGCACATACCTTCTGTTATTCTGTTATCAAAGGAGAAGACCAGGAGAACACTGCACACAAGATATGGTAACAGGCTAACTACCGATGACTACACGGCTCTGTATTAAACACGTTCTCATTCCCAACTCGTCAAATACCAACGCTTGGTCTGTGGCCCAAGTCTTCAAACTGTGACACGTGGTGGGGACAGCAGATGGGTAGACTGTCAGGATTACTCCAATGTCTCCACCTGCAACTTCCCTGCCATTCTGAATGAGGAACGCTGTGAGGGGCAAGAGTCGGCTCTCTCCATAGCGGGTTCTTTTTCTGGCTCTACCTCCTAAAAGACTAAAAGGCAGACACGTCATGGTGAGGAGAGACAAACTGACAGCGACAACGTACATCAACCATCAGGGCTGCGTGTGCTCAGCCCGGCTGCTGGAAACAGCCGGGAGGCTTTTGCTGTGGTCTCACAGCCACTTTCTCTCCATCAGAGCGGTGTACATCATACAGTCATTCTGGTGGCACCAGGACACACAACCGCATTATGGTTGCCAAAGCTGGTGCAGCTGCTAGCAGGAAAGCTGGGGCAGCTTCCATGGTGCAGAGATGCACTGTCACAGCTGGACATCTCCTCCCTCCTCCTCCTGGAGACAGGCCAGGCCTCTCGTGTTAACCTTCAAACATTGGTGAATAACGATTTGGCCCTATCTACAGTGGAAGCGAATGCTAAAGCCATTTCCTCCTGCCACACAGGCTGTAGAGAGAGATTGCTATTTGAGCATCCTTTGGTCATCAGAATGAGGAAGTGTCTCACCGACTCTGCCCTGTGTGCGCTCTGTCTCAGTATGCTGTATACACGGTACACAAAAGAAGGACACAGCAGCTGTTCATAACAGAGGTTCACTCGCAAGGTGTGTCTCTGTCAGAACAGCGTTTAGCTCACTGGCTGTGTGAGCTCCTAATGACAGTGGCAGTCATCTGCACAGACGCATCCTGTTGCAAGTGAGGACTTTAGGGAGGCCCGCTGGCACCAGGGCGCAAAAAAAGCATCAAATCTTTATGACTGTGCATGTGTGCTGATGAACCCAATAGCAACATTTTAAAGCGCTAGATAGATATCGATAGTTACTTTATTAATCCTGCAAGGAGAATGTTTTTCACTACAGCAGCTATTAGGCTAAAACAAAAATAACAGCGTAAAAAATATTAGGTATAAAATGCAAATATCAAATGCACAATATATAGGACAAAATATAATAATATTAATTTAACTAACTAAACAATAGTGCAAGATTGAACAAAACAAACCAACAACAACAGTGTTATAGTCTTGTGATTGATGTGACCAGAGGTGATTTATTATAGAGTCTTATAACAGCAATGTTCTCCTGTATCTGGATCAGTCTGTCCCTGCAGGAGGTGGTGGAGAGGGTGGTCCGGGTTATCCAATATGGATAATAGTTTCTTCAGTGTCCTCCTCTCCACCACCTTCTCCACACTGTCCAGTTTGCAGCCAATGATGGAGCCGGCCTTCTTAACCAGTTTGTTAAGTCTGTTGGTGTCTCCGGGCAGCGTTGAGTCCAGTTCAGTCTGCTGTCGATGGAGACACCCAGCAACCTGTCCTCCTCCACCATGTCCACGTCCTCTCCCTGAACTCTCAGCGGTTGTGGAGCCGTCGTCTTCCTCCTGAAGTCGACCACCATCTCTCTGGTCTTGGCCACGTTCAGACGCAGGTGATTTCTACCGGCCCCAGTCATCCACTACTGCCCTGTACTCCTCCTCCCTCCGTCCCTTATACACCCGACCACTGCAGAGTCCTCAGAGAACTTCTGCAGGTGGCATGACCCTGAGTTGTACTGGAAGTCAGTGGTGTACAAGGTGAACAGGAAGGGAGACAGAACAGTTCCCTGTGGGGCTCCAGTACCACTGACCAGAGGTTAAGTTGTATGTAAGTAGCTGCACCAGGGCCAGCCCTGATCTCCCTGATGTCCCTGGGGCCCCAAGCTAACTTCTGCCAAGGAGCCCTCTCACCTGAACCATTAGCCATGGCAACCATTTGCTGTTGCCACACAGTCGCACACCTGTGTGCTGCCACTACAATCCTCCTCCTTTAAAACAGCTGTCGGTCTAAGAATACGTAGATCTACGCAGGACAGAGCAGAACATTTATTAAATATAATATTTCCTACAGAGTATTAAGATTAGTGCATTTTAGCATAAACAATTAACAATAGATTGTTGAAAATATAAAACGTAGATAATAACAACTTTGTGTTCGCTGGATGAACTAAGTCTGAGCTTGTACTGCATTTCCTCTGCTGACAAAAAATATGTAAAGTATAAATAATAATATTATTTATAATTATTTAAAAGCTGCATTGGGCCCATTCAAACTGACTCCCCCAACTCTTATACATTACACTGTTTATAACAGGCTTTGGATGAACAGCTACTTGATGGTTATTCTTACTGAGAGATTTGCATGGATTCATATTAACCTCCAGTATATCTGATCAACATTTTACATGTTAAACTTCCCATCTCGCATCAGTCCAGAGTGGTAACTATACCTGGACTGAGAGATGAGATGATCGTTGTCTTGTATTAAATGATGTGTTCCTTTAAGGAGGGTCACCTCCACCAGATACTTTCTGCACTGGTCAGTTATCTTCTCTGAGCTGCAGTTAATAAACACCGTTGGCCGTTGCCATTCATCAAATGTATGAAATAGTATTTCACTTTGTCAGGTAAAAAGTCACAGAACAGCCTTGGAAGTGATTGAGGGGCAAGCAAGAAAGAACAGACCAAGAGATGCTCTGACAGCTAAGACAGACAGACAGACATAGAGAGATGCTCTGACAGCGAGCACAGCGACTCACCGTTACTGTTCTCTGACTTCAAACCTGGAGAGGAGAGAACACAAGTTGATCTGATTGCTGTAACCGTGATTCACTCTCACGGTGTTTCTTTTCTTTTTTCACAAAACCCTGTTGTAAACATTGACACCTGCTTTGACACATGGGAAAGGCGGGGGCCTACACTACCTGCGTATCGGGTCGCCTGGTCTGTGTCGAGCTCTCTTGTGGGATATTTTAGGCTCTTGTGGGTGCCATCGGGTCGCCATCGGGCCCTAAGCAGCTGCTTAGTTTGCTTATGCCCTGTATGAATGTGATTATTGAAATAAAGTTTAACACCGTCTGCTGTTGGTGCTGTCAGGTTGAGTACAGTGTGTGCCTGTGTGGTACAATACCAGGTATTCCAGAGAACATATTGAAGATGCTGTGTGTTTGTTCACACCCTGTTTGAAAAGATTGAATACAGTCTCTTCATACAGAGTGGACACAGTAGAGCTTGTTTCAGGGTCGGGGAGGTTACAGCCAGTCAGACAGTGTTGTAACTAAAGTTTCAATGAACAGTACAATCTCCTCTTCTATCATGTCACTGATCTGATCGTAGAGGAGCTGCTCTCCTACATAGTTACATTTCGTGATCGTGATGAAACACAAAACTCTGAACCTGGATCAGACAGATCTATCTGCCACAGCAGCCTCTTGTTGTTCATCCTGCCTGTGAAGCTTCTTGTCGGGTGGCTTCCCATTCTCCCACTAACGCCTCCACTTAATCCTGTTGACCAATTGGATAAACAGGAGCATTCACACGTATTGTCATCACCAGCTTCCCTCAGTCACGCGGGTCCTCCTGACTGGAGAAGGTGGCATTTGAAATATCTGATTCACCTTTATGGAAATATGTTTTTATAAATCGTATGAACTTGTTTTTTAAATCCGTGACATTAGAGATATATCTCATTTAAAAATATTGAGATTAGCCACGAAGCATCTTACTGCTATCATGTGGCCAAAATGTCATGATAACGTGCTCATGACACTTTAGGAGCAGCTCTTCTAGTGAGATGTCACCGTGGCTCTCGATTGATCCGCGACATATCGACTCATTTTTGTAGGATGTGTGCTGTGTACTCATCTGTGTGTGTGTGTGTGTGTGTGTGTGTGTGTGTGTGTGTGAGTCAGAGACGCTGCTTCCCTGTGACGTCACATCCGCTCACACAGAATCGGCTCAGAGGTAGCGGTGGGGGGCAGTGGAGGGGTAAGAGGATTGGGAGGATTGGCAGATTAGAGGCAGTGATTGCAGTGGGCTGGTCCCTCCTTCATGTTCAGTGGGACAGACGGGACAGATGCTTAAACCCCAGGGACATCAACACTAATACTGGATTCTGTCTTCAGCTTGACTGACATACCTCCTTATGATATTCTGTCTCTAATAAATTCAACCCTGTTACTGATAATATGTCAGTGCATATGTATGGTTTAGTTGCTCTGGTGTTGTTCCTCTGTCCCTCTGTTTCCCTGCTGTCTGATTACGCTGCAGCTGCGTAGGCGAACGCTGTCCGTGCTGGAAGAGGATTTGCACAATCAGGGTTGCACGAGATTGTGTGTGTTTGTCATTTTTTGCATGTGTGTTCAGTATGTTACAGTTGTTATGGTCAAGGCTGTCACAAAAGGAGCTCAGTAATTAGGTGTTTGTCGTGAACTCCTCCAGTTGGAGTGAGATGATATTTTGCATGTACGAGCATACAGATATTTCAGAAATTAGTTTTTTATGATGCAAATCCTCCTGCCACATTATGTAAAGAAAATGCTTAAATATTAAGAGAAACGGACGTTTCGTTATTACAGTTTTCTAGCACATACACAGTGCATAGTTTGGATGAAAGGGACTCACTGATTGTCTTTGCTTTGGGGATCTCTGGGTGAATCTGGCAGCGCTAGAGTCAACATTATAACAGACAACATCAGCACAAAGTGCCGCTTACTAATGTCTCTTTAGTGGAATTGATAAAGTTGTTTGGAATTTGAATCAGAATCACATTCAACAATCCCACAGTTGTACATTCTGTTACAAAAGCAGTCAGTACGTTTACATGAAGTGAGAACTCCTGTAATAATTCTGCTGACACAATTTATTTTGACAGTCAGGTAAAGTGGTTTGGAGATTTGCTTAAAGAGGTAGTTCATGTTTTGTATGAGCGATGTGCTCCAGTCGACTGCATTCAGCACAAACAGAGAGAAGCATCAGCACGGGAGCTAAGCTACGTACCGCTGTGGGTTAGAGCAGCAACAAACAGTGTTCTACCAGCTACCAATAATCAATAAATATCAGTTCATGTGTATGCGCGCTGTATTTACAATATCTTCTGAAGGGGAACTGAAGTGCATCTCCAAACTGGGGGCGTGCTGACCACCATGTAGTGTAGGTAATACACTGACTGTACGTCATACAAGCCCACTTAAAAACACCCAACTATCCCTTTAATGTACTAGCAGCAGACGCTACGGCGTTACTCTATATGAATCTGTGTGGAATAGCTCATTCAGAAGCAGAGAAGCTCATTTAAAGTCAGGATTGAATAATGAATCATGGTATCAAAAAGCAAGAGACTGCAGATAGAACACACATATCTCTGCTGCTGGTGGCCACAGGTATTCATGTGAACAATAACTTGCTAAATGTAAACGCTGTGAACATGATGTGTTTACAGTACGGAGGTGCATGTATCACAGTGTTCTCTCTCCCCACTGTGCACCCTGAGCTTCGGTCGAGCCCTGAAGAGAAACTCAGACTTGCAGCAAAAAAGTATTAGAACTGAAACAAAAAAAATCAACAAGAAAACTACTAAACAATACAAATAGATTGATCAGATGTGAATGGGTGCAATTCAGTTCAGGACGTTGGGCGTGGTCACTTGGGCATGCAAAACCTTTTGTTTGGATCTCGTAAGGCAGAGTGATCCGAGGGTATTTCCCTCCCTAGTCTCCCTAGTCTGCCTAGTCTCCCTAGTCTGCCTAGTCTGCCTAGTAACCTGCTGTAATGTTTTTGCTCTCTGGCTGGATGTTCACTGGATCCAGAGACTTCAGCTTTTGTCGCCTAATCCTAACATTTGTTTGAAATCTGTGCTGAGCAGGGGTGTTTCTAGGATTCAAAGAAGGGGGGGGCTTAGCCCCAAAGGGAGGGGCATGTTTGCGCGCTGCGCGCAGCAATTTGTTTTGAGGCCCATTTGGGGCCGTGGATATCCATTGTTTCAGACAGTTCATAGATTGGTTCAATCAGAAAGAGTGTGATTTTGCTCTGTAGTTTTGCTTGCATTCAGTATATGATAACACAAGAGACAGAATTTCAGGGTCATAGTGAAATTTCACAACACAAATATGAACTTTTCTCAAATAAAGAGAGAAATAATTTTCCTGCTTGTAAAGGAAAGACGGATAAACTAGCTTTCATATCCGCGTCACTCCCAAATCCTACTTCTTAAAGGGACCGCACACAATGGATGGAGAATGGACCTGACAGTGTCAACCTTTGAGTTGTTTACTTGTTTTATTATGAGCAGAAGGGAATAAGATTTTGATCAACATTTACATCTGTCTTGTTGTCCGTGTAGTTTTTACATACCAGTGATATTTTATGCTCATTTGGACACTATCACTGAGATAAAGATGAACTAGTTCAGTGTGAAATATACCATTCAATGGAAAAAAAAAACATGAATAACAAAAATAAAAAAACACATTTCAAGTACATCTTAATTATCGAATGATAAATATTGTATGATGTGCTGAAATGGAAGGCACCCAATGCATTCACTATAATCAAGTCCAACTAGGATTGCAATGTACAGAGAAAAACACTATAGGACTAGATCCAGGATAGCATTAGAGGCAGATAAAAACAATACACACAAATACATTCAAATTATTTCAAAATTAGAATCCAATGCACAGGAGATTTCAGACAATTTAAAGTACCACTGATCAACCACGTACCTAAAGGTGCAATACTCTCAATCCCATTCACATGCCTCTGCTATAAAGTGTGATTCATGGTCTATTCTGCCCACAAATGTCTCCAGATCACTTGTAAACATTTACTTTGAGCTAAACTCCTTGGCTATAATCCTGGCTGTCGTTGACGAGAGACCTTACTTGGCAGAGTGAGAAAGCCAGCGCAGCAGCCTCCCCAAGGTCCTAGTGCCCGGGTTTATTTTGTTAAGAATCACCAAATATATATATATATATATATTTTTTTTTATTTATTTATTTATTTTTTTTAAAGCCAATAATGCCAAATTATTTGGGGGGGCTGAAGAACATTTTAGGGGGGCTTCGCCTAACGACGTCCCTGGTGCTGAGCGACCAGAAGAGAAGTGAAGCTGAGCGAAACAACATTTGTGTCCATGTACACACATTGTGTGACTATTTGCTTTTGCTTTTGATGGTGAATCCATCCTGGGTCCGATTACGTTATACTGATAAGAATGACTGTGTCATGTGAAACCCAGGTTACAGGTGTATGTCTAAATGAAACTGAAATAACTTTGTCCTTCTCTACAGAGATAATGAACAATGTCATCAAGAAAGCAAGAGAAAAAGGGAAATGGAAGGTAAGGGTCCTGTTATTCTGATCAAGTTTGGCATCACTCCCCTTTGATCTTGACATTGGATATGAATAAAACCACTTAAGATGTCAACATCACATCCTCATGAAGGCCCCTGCTGTGTGTAATTATGTTACAGGTGCTGGTGGTGGACAAGCTGAGCATGAGGATGATCTCGTCCTGCTGTAAGATGACAGATATCATGTCAGAGGGAATCACCAGTAAGTACCACACAGGTCACTGAAGTTGAATTGTGTTGCAGCTGTGACATCAGTTCAGTCAAATGTAGAGCAAGTAACGACCACAAGCATAGAGGATTCATCTCTAGACTGTTCAGTTGAAGTATTTATGGATATTCATGTTTTGTTGAAACAGTGGATCACATTAGATCACATGTATGTATCTATATAGTGTTATAACTGTTATGTTGTTCATTCTGTACACATGACATCTATCACACTTCATCCTCCTCTGGAGGACCCTCCTCTGTTGCTCTCTAAGGTCTCTTCCTCTGTTCTCCCCGTTAATTAAAGGGTTTTTGGGGAGTTCTTCCTGTTCTGATGTGAGGGTCAAAGGTCAGAGGATGTCGTATGTGTACAGATTGTAAAACCCTCTGAGGAGAATTTGTGATTTTGGGCTAAACAACAATAAATTGAATTGAACCTCTGACCCATGTGTGTACATGTTAATGAGACGAGGGAGAGAGGACGCAGATAGTGAGGTGGTGAATAGAAGGCAGAACAAGAAATGAAATGTTCATTCAGTCATTTCCCTTCACATCACACGTTTGTTATAGATCCACTTCATCCTAAACTTTGGAACCAGCAGTGTTATTAGTGCTAGTTTCAATGAGCCATAACTATTCCATAAGCACCTTTCAGTTCTCAAAGATATAGAGCAGCTCAAATATCAAATCAAATCCATCTCAACATCTCATCAGTGCTGTCTGCAGACCAGAGCACAGAGTAGAGCACCTGACGACCAACACTCGGTCAGCTGTGGAGCAGCTGATGAAATTATCATCAGAGCGTCAGTATCTTTCAATAATATCTTAATATACAGTATATGTAAATGAAAACTATCATTTTGCAATAAGTCAGTCTGATGACTGTAAACTCATACGTATTGCAGTGACACTTGTAATGATGGATGTCCTGGCTCTGTTTATGGGAGAACAAGGAGGGCACGGTTGTTCAGGGACCAGCTCACCCACAAGCACCTCCATTTCTGTATCACAAACATTCCTTTTCTTTGTCTTCCTCTCGGAGCTTTCTGTGATTCACCATAAAGCGCCATTGATCCGCAGGCTCCTTTACGCATCGGCGTTCTTAGGGAGCTATGCGTTGAGCATGTATGGTTGAATGTGTGCATGCAGAGAGCGATATATGAGGCCAATCAACTGCAAAAGCTGTGTTTCAACCAGCAGAGAGCAGTCTCTATGCATGTTCATAACACAATAAAGAATCAAACACGTTGCACTAAAATGTCAAGATGAGGACCTGAATCCATCAACACCACTAAATACTCATTTACAGGAGGGTTCCTCTGAACAGGGTTTTGTGGGTTTAGTTACTCTTGTGACATTCCATCTAATATTATATGGAAACCAAATTCAGCAAATTTACACAACTAGTCTGCAGCACACAGTTGGTACAGTTCCCCTGTAGCAGAGTGGCAATAACAGACTTTGCTGTTGAGCAGCTCCTGAGAGCAGCAGCTAACAGCTGTCACACACATGTTCTGTAGAGAATGCACATTCTAGTTTAGAGCTGTAACCCAACACACGTCCAGTACCCGGTCATTGAAATCTAATCCACACCTTTCAGCCAATCAGAATTAATAGATCCCAGAGGCCATGGTATGAATAGTCACTCCTAACAAAGCATAAAGCCCGTTTCACCAAATGTTGAAATGTTCCTTTAAAACAGGATCATTATTTCAACCAGAAAGAAACATCTGGGTCAGAGCACTGGCACCAACTCTAACACTCAACAAAGATGGTATTAGGTTTGACTCAGAGAAGTCTTTTGCCTTTTTAACCTCATACCAGACCTTAAGTATCCATCTGTTCTATGGACCAGACTGGCATCAAGCACCAATCACCAAGGCTGCGACTCCTTCTGGGGGAAGGAATGGTAGGCGACTGTAATGTAAGGAGAGAAATAGGAAAATGCTAAAAAGACCGTTTCACTGAGATTTGAGGCACATTAGATACGTGAGTATTTACTGACAGTGTGGTAAAAGGCTAAATATATAAATCAATCAATCAATCAATCAATCAACCAACCAACATGTATTTGTATAGCACATTTTAAAATACAATACAGGTTGCCCAAAGTGCTGCACATACAGTAGATAAGCAGTCATACAATCAAAGACTGGATTAATAACAGCAAGTGATCACAAATCACACAAAGTGCCAAGTTAAATGATGCTTGTGACATCACAGTAATACAGTGTAGAAGCATCAAACTATTGTCTCACAGTAAATCTCAGCCAAACAGCTCTTAACTGCTTTGTTATTTACAGACAACTTAGCCCAATGGAATGTGGTGAGTCAATCAAATAGATGTAGATGTCCAGTTAATATCCGGCCATCGTGGTTGAGCTGTCTGGAGGTGAGCAGACTGAAGAGGCGTGACGGTACACCGACCAACCTGAAGTTAACGAGGTATCCCGACTGCTCAGGTTCAGTAATAATGATTAGACAAGATTAGTCTACAACACAAACGTTGGTAACACTTCCTATGACTCCCATGTCTATGACACAATATAAACATACTTTATAATAGCATATATTAGCATATAGCACTCTATAGTTCTACAGGTAAAGTAGAATTGTTTCAGGTATCATCTATAGTTTGAGTCGATTTAGTTTAGAGTTTTTGGGGAAAAATGTGTTTATTAAGTTGTTCATCAAAAAGTTGTGTCAGAGTGAAATACTCAGAGGAACTATATACATCAGATCACATGATATTATATATATATATATATATATATATATATACACACACTAACATACTGCCCTGAATATTACTGGCACCAATTTTTCAAATGACGCTCAACAAAGACATATTTCTAAGCTTGATGTTACATTTGACAGACAGCTCAGCAGCCTTTAAATGTTTCAGTGTTTTAAAATAAGTGTTGGAAGTCGAGGACGGTCCCCGTCCTCTGTGCAGGGTTCTGCAGCGCAGAGAGGCTCCGACTGCCTACAAGTGGGAAAGCTTAGTTCAAGTGTAATCAAGCTAAAAGCTGAGTTCTGATTGTTGTTTTCCTGTTCTCTCCAGTTGTAGAAGACATAACCAAGCGCCGTGAGCCTCTGCCCAGCATGGAGGCCATCTACCTGATCACACCCTCAGATGAGGTCAGTGGTACAGCTGCTCTACAGGCAGTTAGGATTCTATGGAGCAGCACACACGGTCTCTCATTGACTCTCTTCATCCCAGTAACAGTCATTTGAATACCTATAAATGCAGCTCCAGTGGCTGTTATTATTAGTTTGGTTATAAAGATTGCAATATCTGTATTGCTCTTTTTCAGGAGCACACTGATCAGATCACATCACCTTCAGTAACACAATCACACCTGAAGCTGTACACTCACAGTGTGATGTGCTGCCCACGAAGCAGCTGCACTGCAGCAGTTGGGCTTAAGGGCCTTGCTCAAGGGCAGCTCAGTGGTGGTAATAAGGGAGGAGCAAGTGTTGCTTTTCACTTTCCCACCAAGCTTCTCCTGATGGTCCCGGGGAACCGACGCCCCTCTAGTCACCAGCTTGCTCCTCTGTCCTTCAGGCCACCACCGCCCCGCTGTTCTTTTAACAGTCATCTTGTGGGTTTTGTTCAATATTTTGTTGAACAATTTTTTGAACAGAATGAAGAATTGTTCTTCCCTTTTACATCACTTCTTGAGCTGAAACATTGTTCTTTGCTGTCTCAGTCTGTTGAGGCTCTGATTGATGACTTCAGAGACCCGCAGTGTCCGAGGTACCGCGGAGCTCACGTCTTCTTCACCGACAGTGAGTAAATCCATTCTGCCATCAATAATAACTGAAATAACTATGGTACACCTTTATCCCCGTACAATAAGTAAACTGCTTAATCATAATCTGATATTTTGCCATAAATGTAAACATTGATCAGTTGCTCTTCCTGTTAGAACTTCCACGAAATTGAATCTTAGAACAGCCACAGATGTCTGCTTCTCTTTGTTGACTGATGGACACAGCAGCAATGTGTGGCTGCAGGGTCACTGGATTAGACATCAGCCTACAAAACCTATGGATCCTATGAATTAGACCTAATCTGAAAGGGACCCAACAACAGTAAGACCTGATCTGAACTAACAATGTGGTGGACAAGAATAGAGCTAAACGCTGACCTGACAGCAGCGTTCATCTCTACCAATCAACCAGCAGCCTTGAAGAGAACTTGTGTGCTCTGCTGTAGGATCCTAAACATCTCTGGTGTTGCTGGATCTGACTGTTCCCGTAAAGCAACTCAATATGTTCTTTTAAACCTCACGTCACACTTTGTAGGCTTCTGTTTAAAAGTCTGTCTTCCAGGTCAAGCTGTAATGACTGATGACATCATCAGGGCTGTGTTTTTGTCATTAACACCAGACATTATACAACAAGTTGTGTAGTACTCCCTGTGAGTATTACACTGACCTTTATGTATAAAGAACCTTATCTTATCTATCAACAAGAGGTCCATTCTATATTTTCTGATTTGATTGACGTAACGTTGACATTATTCTGTGCAGCTGCTTCCTCACTAAGCCACCGTGTTATTCTGTGATTCTCACCAGCGATCCCGGAAACATTGTTTGGACTTTTGACCAAATCTCGCGCCTCCAAAGCCATGAAGGCCTTGACTGAGATCCACATCGCCTTTCTGCCCTATGAATCTCAGGTAAGACATCATGAAGACTGGGATCAGATCACGTTAGCTGCTCATCACTGTCGACCACAGATAGGATGTGGTTTGGATGGATTTCAGTCAGTGTGTAGAGCCTGCAGAGAATCCTTTGTTTTCATTGTAAGATGTATTCCAACTGCATCATTTGAACCCTGTGTGTGTGTGTACTGTACATGGACATGTTGGAGGAAGATGGATACAGTAAGACAGAAATGTCTCGTGTTTTTCAATCAAACAATCAATCAATCAATCAATCAATCAATCAAGGCCAGGAAAGGTCATGAATTACAGCACTGGTTACAAGGTCACAAAGATGTTATCTGATAAAACATCTACTCGTCTTCATTTCATGTTGCGATGCATGTAGCAAATGTAATATCTCATATTAACCAAATATGACTTTGTAGAGCTGATTATGTAAGGTCATGTAAGAGAATGCATTATGTCTCTGGCACAGGATTCTGATGGCTTGGTGTGTGTATTCTTTGTTTTACTGCACATCAGTATACGGAGAAACTGTGCTGAAGAGGATCAGACCAACAGTGTTTGAGTTGAATCAGCTTGAGCCTTAAATCCTCTGCTGTTGTCCTGCAGTTTTAATCCCGAGAGGGAGGGACGCATCATCCCAGCCCTGCCCAGCTCTCATCCCTTTATTGCATTTGATGACAGAACCAATGTTTATTCTCTGCAACCAATGAGAGCACAGATAAGATGTGGGACAGAATAAAGCACAGGGATGTTATCTAGTGATGTCAGCAACAGATGGGTGTATGCGTCTGTGTGTGTGGGAAAAAGTTTAATTAGTGTCATTGACACTACTCTTAGACAGAAGCTTCTGCTGGACTATCTGTTTGTATTTATTATTTTACCATTTTCAATCCCAAATATTGTATTTACTCAAGAAGTATCACTCAAGCAAATCTATTATAACATCATTTAGATCATCATAGATCACCAAAACTCTTCATCAAAGCTGTGTATAATAAAGTATAATAATGCATACCTGTGTCAAATACAAGCTATTCTTGCTTTGGGTCACTTTGGGTTAAGGTCTCCCCGTTGATCAACAGCGTAGCACTAATCAATTTAAAGCTGAGATTGTCTCTCATGTTGTGTCTCTGTCATGTCTTCTGTATCCAGGTCTTCTCCCTGGACAAAGATGATGCCTTTCAGGACTTCTACAGCCCCTTCAAGGCTGACGTGAAGAACAACATGCTGGAGCGTTGTGCTGAGCAGCTCGCCACCCTCTGTGCCACACTCACAGAGTATCCTGGAGTCCGATACAGAGTGTGAGAGCAGCAAGCAACCCTTTTCAACACTCCTCTTTTGTTCACTCTAATGCCCGAACATTGAGCATTGGTGTGATGAAGGCTGCGTTTAAGTTTTGACCAGACTGCTAGCAGTGTTGACGCGTGTCTGGGGAATATTACACTCCAAAGCAAACATCTTCATTTGCTGCACTAGCTGCATCATACATGACATGCAGCTTCCTCTGTTGTTTTTGGTTCCTCTGCCCCATTGTGTCTGAAATGAGACGATAAAGCCAACTGGATGTTCACACTGTGGCTGTTGTTTCAGTAGCTCAGTACTATACATTCTCAAGAGTGGCTTAATAACTTATCCTCCACTGCTCTTCATTTCTATTTGAACATGTTGTCTGGTTAATATAAACTCACAGCATCTTCCATGCTTACCTACTTTTAAGATAATCTAATGTTCATTTCTCTTTTACTATAGCACTAATGCCATCAGTATAGATCCAGAGTCATGTCATACTCACTCACTAGTTTCTACTCTCTGACAAATATACTGTACTATGTTCATTCACTAATTATTTCCATTCGCTTCCCTAACTACAATAAAACTAAACACTCTGGGCAGCAATTTGAAGCATAATCACTATAATCTCCTGATGGATCCTTAATTACAATAAGCTACTGGAAATAACTGTTGAATGAAAAGAGTTTGTCTGTTAGAGAAGACAAGCGGAGAGCAGCAGAGAGGTGAGCATGAGTCACTCTGCTGCTGTGGAAATACTGAACTTACCATGTGAGCCACAAGAGTGCAGGTAATTCCACCCCACTTCAATAGTGTTGCCTTTGTGAGTGACAGCCGAATTTGTTTGTGCTTGGGTATCATACTACACATAGCACCTATACACATATTCAACTCACTCAGGTCGATGTCAGAGTACGTTTCCACTCTGACAGTCACTGGGTGAACTATATTTGATCAAATGACAGTAGCATCGTGAAATTGCCCTGTATGCTTGAAACAGCGGGTGTGGTAAGGACCCGGGAGCAGTACGACAGACACACTGGAGAGTTGGAAACGAAGCTTTATTTTCCACTGGACACACAACAGGTAACAGCCTTTGATAAGCACAGATGGATAATCCCACACGGTGGAACGCCAAGCCGTTAAGGGAGAAGGCAGACAGAATCCCGAGGAAACAGAGGCAGGATCTCGTGGTCGGGGACAGAAGACTGAGTGGTTTACCGGGGCAGAGGCAAGGCGGATAAGTCCAAAACAGGCAGGGTCAGTAACGGGGAATCAGTTTTAGGGTATTCGCTGGAAGGTCTGACATCAATGTCCTGACGTCAGTGGGGAGTTCATTCCACCACTGTGGGGCCAGGACAGAAAACAGCCGTGACCGGGTCGATCGGCCGTAGAGACCTCTGAGCGACGGGGCAACCAATCGCCCCGAGGCAGCAGAGTGAAGTGGTCGGGCGGGGGTGTAAGGCTTGACCATGGCCTGGAGATAGGAAGGAGCTGTTCCTTTCACTGCCCTGTAGGCTAGCACCAGAGTCTTAAACTGGATGCGAGTTCTTACAGGTAGCCAGTGTAGAGAACGGAGAAGGGAAGTTGTGTGGGAGAACTTGGGGCGATTGAACACCAGGCGAGCTGCAGCTTTCTGGACAAGCTCCAGAGGTCTGATGGCGACACCGGGGGCTCCGGCAAGTAGTGAGTTGCAGTAGTCCAGGCGGGAGATGACAAGAGCCTGGATTAGCACCTGCGCCGTCTCGTCAGTGAGGAAGGGGCGAATCCTCCTGATGTTGTAGAGCAGGAATCTGCAGGAGCGTGTAACCGATGCAATGTTTGCTGAGAACGACAGTTGGTCATCCAGGGTCACACCCAGGTTTCTCGCAGTCAGAGTTGGTGTCACCACGTTATCGTCAATGGTGATGGACAGGTCTCGGTGCGGGCAACCCTTCCCCGGGAGGAACAGTGGCGAGATGTTTACCACTGGACATTTCTACTCAACATCTACATAAGCACATGTTTAAAGGAGTTTCTAAAGTTTAAGTACAGTTTGCTCACCTTGTTGTTCTAGTCATACAGATTATTATGGAAATTATGATCAATCGACGTATCATCAGCATGTTCACGTTTGATGCTAAATTGATGAATGTCTATTGTTTCAGGGAATACAAAGACTGTGCAGTTCTGGCCCAAATGCTACAGGAGAAGCTAGACGGCTACAAGGCGGATGACCCCACCATGGGAGAGGTAGGAAGACAAGTTACTAATGGGAGGAACCATTCTTATGTGAATATTTATCGACATTCATAGTATTATCTGATGAACATCACCCAAGCACAATCTGGCAAAACAAGCAGATTACATTGATCCATACCCAGAAATATTCAACACTGGCTGTCGGGTAATAAAACTGTAAAATCATACTACAACTGACTTTTGTGGCGTTTGAGGTTTTGAGAGGATTATATGCTCCTTTATTGGTTTAGAGACTCTTTCAAAAGGACCAATAACTAGTCATTGGGTTAAAACTAAGGCAGTTTTCATTGTTCATAATAACTGGAATTTTGGAGATTGTATGTATTCATTCAGCAGCTGCAATGATGCATTTTCAAAAGATGGGAAGGCGAACGGATACCCTGTCTGTGGTTAGCAAAACGAGCAGACTTCAGTTGATCAAATCCTGTGTAATTCATGCAATATTGAATGAGCTGCATGTACAACGTACAGACATCTGTCAGTCCGCCGCAGTATGGGTAGTGTTTTTATTTGTTTCTGTTCTGTTGCATCCAGGGTCCAGACAAGTCTCGTACTCAGCTGCTCATCCTGGATCGTGGCTTTGATCCCGTGTCACCTGTCCTGCACGAGCTCACGCTGCAGGCCATGGCCTACGACCTGCTGGGCATCCAGAAGGACGTCTACAGGTAAAGACGTTACAGAGAAGGCCTGAGAGCTGCTGGGAGTCACTGAGCTCAGGTTGCTACTGTCATCATTGTGACTTTAACTTAGTTTGAGTTATATATTTCAGTGGTGTCAGTGGTCTCCGCCTCCAACATCTCATTCAATGAAAAATGCTCTGTTAATAATTCAAACCATGTATTTGTAAAAAAAAAAAAAAGGCCAATATGGTAAAACAATGCCCTACAAAGGCTAAGCAAAAAAGAGATGACTGCCCTGCACAACATCAAGATGATAACATGTTTCAGTGTTGATCTGCACATCTTTGTATTTAAACCCTCTATGGCCCTTTCTCTTCCTGTCAGCTTTGAGACCAGCGGGATGGGAGAGACGAGAACGAAGGAAGTCGTGCTGGATGAGGATGATGACCTGTGGCTGACTCTGAGACACAAACACATCGCAGAGGTGTCAACGTGGGTGGCTTTATACTCACACATACACACTCATGGCATGGATAAACAACCACACAAAGCTGACAATGAGCATCCCCCATATGTCTCCATGCATGTTCTATGCAACCGCGAGACAACAATTCTCGTTCCTGATTCTCCTTCTGTCTCTTCCGTCTGCACAGGGCTGTTACTCGTTCTCTGAAAGACTTCTCTGCCAGCAAAAAGATGAACACTGGAGAAAAGGTAGAGGACACACTGTATCACTCTGGTTTACAGAGCATTCACTCGAGTCAATGCTAAGACGCCAATGGACGTGAATGGGCGTACGTTATCCGCACCGCCCGATGCAACGTGGAAAAGCTAAATTAGCATCATTGACATTTTTCAACTTGGGCGGTAAATTCTCATGACGCTGTGTCAGCGTTAAGATGCTCCTCCCGTCATCACTGACATCCTGCCGTTGTTGAATCAGGAAACACATATTGTAACCGTCTGTGTTCACCCAGAGCTCTACGATACCTCATATTAGTAGAGACCAGACAAACTATGTGGATAAACCATATGGTACAAACAATGAAAACAACACTTAGATGATGTTATGTTGAGTGTTGATGGAGCTGCTACAATGTTAGCTTAGCTTAGCACCAATCGATCCGAGCTCCATTGAGAAAACAAGTATTTTAAAAGTTATTTGCTTGTCGTCTTGTGGAGAGAACAAACAAAAAATGAATTCCAACATTTTACAAATGAAGGTAGTGCTGTTTATGTCATTGTGAAGAGTTAAGTTCAGAGTGTCTCCCTGTGAGCAAATGTGTTTGGGCACCATTATGTAGAACCCTCGTCCAAACGCAGGGCGTCGCCATTATACTTCATTGTCAAATGTCTCAGGAATGTCTGGAAGGAATGTGTTCAAATTTGACTAATAACATTTACCACGAATAAAGGAATAACTGATTAGAATTGGGGTCAAAAGTCAAGCTCACTTTGACCTCACAACCCATGTTTTTGGCCCTAATTTCAATGTTAATTATCACAAATCTCACACAAATGTCTAATAGGTTAAAATGATAAAGTGATGACATCGTCATTGTTTGGCTGAGGCTTAAACCCATGAGGCAGTAACTGTAATCTGTGAATGTGTTGAGATCAAGGGCTCAAGAACTCAAGACATACATGACACACGTATTTCCTCTTCAGACATGCATCTACTGTGTCCTAACTAAATGAAGAACATGTGGCATGATGAATTTAATTCAAATGTAGTTGAAGTTTAAAACCTCATCTCGCGGGCGGGCCGTCAGAGTGATAACTGCATATTTGTGTTATGCACACAACTGCCCTGTAACATGAGTATTAATGTGATATCTCATTAGAAAGCTACGGTTCTTGTAATTCGATTTCTGCAAACCATTTCAAGATACAATAACAACAGCAGGTACAGTTAACGTCTCTGTCAAACAAGCACTCCAAAAATAGCCGATAAAATATCGCCGTGACTCACCGATTATGATCCATAACGTCCCCCTTGTGCATGCTAGTCCAGCAGAAACGGTCTTGCTAGGTGGCTAAGGGTCCACTCGATCGAATCCAGTAAAAGATTTAGTCCAAAACACATTAGTACGTCCATAAAGACCCACGGGGGGCTGTTGCATCATTTCAAATTAGCCAGCAGATATGATAACTCGCGATCATATTTCGGGCATAACTTCACGTTCAGTGTCAACAGAGCGGAGATTTTGATCGCAAAATGGAGCCTGCATTCCGCCGGTTAGATTGACACCTCATTTGACCCAATAGGAGCTTCTATAGCCCGGCCACAGTCTGGAACAGCCAATGAGAGTCCGCTTTGAAAGACAATGCCCGCCTCTCTTCTTTGGGTATAGCTCGAGCCAATCGCAACAGATCCAGTTCAAACTCAGGCTCCACATAGCCAATGAAATTACGAAGCCAAGGATATGCAGATTTATCAGATTGAATGCTGGGAAAGTTTTCAAAACTGAACTGTAAACCATGAGTCAGGTACCTGAGACAGATTATCAAGAGCAAAGTCTGGTTCATTAAAATCTTCAAGAATCTGTGAAAGTTGACAATGGTTAAATATGATGTAGTTAACCATACATTGACATAAATAAGCTGTAGTTTGAAGTTTTGGACACGTGGTTTATCGTAGTATATGCATTTTGACGTATATGCATTTTGACGTGGTGACAGCGAGCCTCCAAATGCGTTTTTACACTCTTAGTAAACCACCAAATGCGTTTTTACACTCTTAGTAAACCACGTGTGAAATATTACTTTTATGTCTATTGTTATCAAATTCTAGCTTCTAGGATGTACTCAACTCCATGCTACCATACCAGTGTGTTTTCCAGCTCATAAGTCCCAGCCATAGATAACTGCTGCCATCTGTTGGCCAAAACAAATCCAGGTGGAAATAAAAACCTTCTTTTTCAGTGTGCTGTAAACTCCATAGCTCAATGCTAGTAGCACTTACAGTGATTCTGACTGATTGTGAAGAAACTTCAGAGTGTTGCCGTTCAATAGAGACTAAAACCATACATGTACTCCCAATGGTTCAATAAGAGCTGTCAGTTTACTTTGGGTACGCGGTGGATAGGCGTTTTAGGCAAATTTTACAGGAGCTTCGTATCAAAGCAGAAGTACTCGTTGTGCAGGCAGAACTGTCCCCGTCATTGTAGTGCATCAGTTTGGATATAACTATTTGTAGCCGTGTCTTTGCTACTCGCAGGTCCTCCTCATTTCATTAGTTGCCTCACACACTGAATCAACACCAACGCAACATGTCTCCCACGCTGCCCGGCTCCTCCGAGCGCGTGCAGTCCAGCTCACACCAAACGAAAATCACTGGCAGGCTTGTGTCCCCGTCTCTCTGTCCTCGTCTGTGTGAGTTCATCCCTCCCACCGTCACTAAAGTATATCACTCATCTGCGTCTTTCAGACCACCATGAAGGAACTGGCTCAGATGCTGAAGAAGATGCCTCAGTATCAGAAAGAGCTCAGCAAGGTAAGCTCTGACGTGTCACTGTGCATCTAAAGAGTCACAGCATGTCATGTTACTGTATTCAGTAGAGTTGGTTGAGTGTGTTCATCCAAAGCACCGAGAGCATTTCAAACGAAACTGGCCAACCAATGCAGAGTTGGTGTATCACTCATTGAGTACAAAGGCCAAGTTAAAGAGAGTTACCGACAGCATCTCTCCTCTCTGACTTATTCAGTATTCAACCCACCTCCACCTGGCTGAAGACTGCATGAACCGCTACCAGGGCACCGTGGACAAGCTGTGTCGTGTAGAGCAGGTAAGTCACACAGAAGCCTTTGTTATGTGGTTAGAACTTAGACTGAGTTATAATGTGGAAAGTGAAAGAATCAAATCAATGTGACATTCCAGCATAAGCAGCTAAAGGAAGCATTTATGTATGGCTGATGTGAGCTTCAGTTCATCTGGTACAGATGTTTCAGACTTGGAAGAGTTGTAAAGAGATGTGGAGGGAGAGACACTGCGTGAGGTGAAAGGGAGCGGTGCATGTCAGTGTTCTAAACAACAGGAAGTTCATTATGGAAGCTAACTTTACAGAGCTAATAGTTTGATGCCATATTAATGCTCTGAATAACAAGAAGAGAACCATTAAGAAACTTTAACTCATCATAACTCAGTCAACTCGGAACACACAGACAGGTGCTGCTAATAGCTAATAGTTATCATGTTTTTAGAGAAATGTAAACAGATACAGTCTGAAAAACAAGACAAAAATCTTTTGTTCAGAAATACAGCTGCTAGCACATCTTAACTAATCAACACTCGGTATCTTGTTTGTTTACACAAACCAACATGTAAATGCGTTAATCTGCAGTTTAAGGGTGCGTTACAGGCTGGAACAAACTATTTTATCCTCGGCCTGTATAGAATACTGAAGTAGTTAAAGTGGAGAGATGAATTCAGGGCTTTGTTGATGGGATGTGACAGCTTCCTGCTCACCCCACTGGAGGTACTTGCAGCCACATACAGGCTCTTCTCTAACTTCTAAGCTCGATGTTTACACAGAATCTGTGTCTTGTTCAAATGGTACTGATGTGGAATTCATCTTGAGCTTTGCTCTCCTCTGCCCTCCGTTGTTCTTAAGGATCTTGCAATGGGCATAGATGCAGAGGGAGAGAAGATCAAGGATCCCATGAGACTCATTGTACCCATTCTGCTGGATGCCAACGTCAGTGTGTCTGACAAGATTCGCATTATCCTGCTCTACATCTTCCTTAAGAACGGTCAGACATCCGCTGTCCTGCATTATTGTGACAAAAGCAGAAAAGCACACTCAGAATCTTAAATATGTATGCATTAATATTGTTTCTTGTTTCTTTAGTTCTGATCTATTCTCTGTTTTGTGGTTGCATGCATCTTACCATGTTTGTCAGTGTGCATGCTCTCATGCATGTGTGTAGACACTGGAGACCTATATGCTGCATGTGTTTGTGTGTCTGTGTGTGTGCATCAGGTGTGACTGAGGAGAATCTGTGTAAGCTCCTCCAGCATGCTAGCATCCCACCAGAGGACAGTGACATCATTTCCAATATGGCCCACATGGGCCTTCCCATTGTTTCTGAGGTGAGCTATCCTGCCCCGAGACCTTAATGTCTCGTCATGAAGCACACGAAGACGATGTCTTTCTAAACCTAACGGAGTAGTTTGTTGCCTATAGGTTGTTTCCTGTGAAAAGTGACTTTATAAATGTAATGAAAGGAAATTGAAATGTGTTGCTGGACATTTGTAGGAAAACACATGAGAAATGAGGAGTAACTCTTAGTAAGATATCATACCAACTGTTGTATGAGGAACATGGCACCCAGTGCACCAGTGCGGCTCATTGGTTGTGTTTTTAGTAGTTTTTGGACAACAATGGACCTCATGGCACAAAGGAAGAAGATGTATCAGGCTATGATAAACACACAATACTTGTATGATGTAAAGATGAGATTTGGCGAGCAGTTTCTGTCATTATATGCGATAGTTCGCCAATAATGTTACATGAAAATGTAACATTATGTGGGCCTAAGATGCTCAGTGGACCGCCCACACTTTGTGTCACTGTGGATCACTCGCTGTGGTGGGCCCATATGGGTTTCCTATTGTAAGCTGCATAGAGAGAAAGTGAAGAGGACATGTTTGCTGGGAACAGTAAAGCCTTAGTGGATCCCTGTCAGCATGTTTGATGAGATGGTTACAAATGTGTAGGCATCACCGAAACTGATGACAGGTGACGATCTATCAGCAGCCCAGACTGAAACATGCATCGTGTAAAGAACTAGTTCTTAAAAAGACTTTCATTTACTACTTATTCACACTGTTTATAAATAACTACAACAATCAGAACCTGTTAGTGTGAACAGATACAAGGTGCATGCACAGAAATATACATGTGGCTAAAAACAAGGACAGCAAAGCTCAACGAGGTAAATGTAAACATGTGACTACTATGCCCTGAATGTAGGAGGGTGATGAGTCGATACAGTTTATACAGCAGTGCTTATGATGTGTGAATGGTGAAGGCCAATGAGTAATCAGCATTGTTGCATCACAGGTCACTGTCAAAAAAGCCAAGAAGCCAGATCGCAAGGAGCGCGTCAGTGAGCAGACCTACCAGCTGTCCAGGTGGACTCCTCTCATGAAGGACCTCATCGAGGTACGTGTCCTGCTGTCAGTTTACCAGCCATCATGCACCGTGACTACAAACCTATAGCAGGGATTAGGTCTGATGCACACTTTCTTACCTTGTATGCCTGTTAAAGTACAAAGAGTTCTACTCTCACCTTCTTTATTTAGTTTATTTAAACTTCCACCTTCTGACCGTAATGAAGCTCAGAGAGAGTTCACTCAGGAAGACTTTCTTTATACGTCATCAGTCAACACGTCTCTCTCTCACTCCTCCCGCATCTTCTTAACTTCATAACTTTGTTCTGCTTTGCTTTGTTTGTAGCATGTTTCCTTCTGATTCTTCTTCATCAGCTGATTATTGGCGTTCACTGTTTTAGTTGAACCAACCAGACGTCGCCATAATCTCCATCAGTCCATCATGTCGCTGCTGTCAAACTTGAGATCTGTTCTCCTCTCTGTTGCTGTCAGCTGTCATCTTAGGAGAACTCGTTGCATCCTCCTCCACCTCACTCACCTGCACTCATCATTCATTCAGTGCCAGGTTGAGCTCAGCGTTCTCTCTCTCTCTCATCATCACCACCGGTGTCTAGACTCCACACAGGGGTTTACAGTTATACTTACGAATTCATCATCCCCTTAAATATATATTACGATGGAGTCCAATCACTAAACACGATCCACGTTTCTCATCCTTTTGTGCACACGTCAATTAAAACATTTGTTCACTCAAAATGAAGTCTCTGCTGATTGAATTACGGTTTAGCTTCCAGCTTTTAAAGCAATGTATAAATTCTTCCAGTTCTACATTTTAGCAATTTAGCCGGTTGAAAAGATGCTGAACAGGTCTTAGACGTGCAGACAGAATATCACCCAGTTTTTAACCATAAATCAACGTTGAGATCCTGGTTGGTGCTCAATGGGCATCTGGAGCGCGTATGTACTGTATATCATTTTTAGACCCAAGTAATAATCACAGCCGCAATTACATATAGTATTTTGACAAACTCTGTTACTGTAATATAAATGCGGTCCTAAGCTACGTCCTTGTCTTGTATAATAGATTACTAAAGATGTAAAAGCATCAGGAGAGAGCTCATTGCCAGCTGTAGGCTCTGGATCCTCCTCTGGATTCTTCATGTCCGTGTCTGTGAAAGAGCAGATCCTGTAGTGATGGTTAACATGTTGCCCAGAACAATGAGTTGAACAGGAGCCTCGTGAATATTTCATTAGACAGCGCCCCCTCTCATCTTAATCCCGTAGTATTTTGAGTGAGAACTAACATGGGTCAGTCTGTTTTTAGTGCAAACTATTATAACTTATATGTTTTCCCACAGGATGCCATTGAGGACAAGCTTGACGCTAAGCAATACCCGTACATCTCCCAGAGACAAGCATCTGCCAAAGCCAGCGCTCCATCAAGGTGTGTTGTGTTTTAATACTACGAGTACACTTCAGGTAACAAGTCTGTCTGCCCCTCATCCCTGTCAGCCTGTCTCACTGAAAAATTCTCCACACTCTCCCCCTCCCTTAGCCCCTCCCCCTCAGACCTGGTCAACCTCTACAATAACACACTATCCTCCTGCCTTGATCAGCTTGCCCCTCTCAAAACCAGAACTGTCTCTTTCACCCACACTGCTCCCTGGTTCACCCCTGAACTCCGCCTCATGAAATCCCGGAAACGCAGACTCTCCAAGAAAACCGGCCTCACAGTTCACACCCTGGCGTACAAGGAACACATACAGCAATACAAACTGGCTCTAAACTCTGCTCGCTCCACCTACTACTCTGGTATCATCCGCTCTGGTTCGACCAACCCAAAGGTCCTCTTCTCCACAATAAACAAACTCCTCAAACCTATGGACAATCTCTCCCACTCCTCCACAGCAGAGAAATGCAACTCCTTCCTGACGTTCTACAAAGCTAAAATTGACACCATCTACAACCAACTGGCCACTTCCAGCCCCGCTTTGTCCAACCCTGTATCTGCAAATCCTCCACTAACTGACCGGTCACTCTCCCGATTCTCTCTCATCTCCCCCTCGGATCTCAATAAATTACTCTCTGGCATGAAGACTCCGACCTGTGACCTCGACCCTATCCCTTCCACTTTAGTTATGGCCTGTCTCCCGGCCCTCCGCCCGCACCTCCTCTCTGTCATCAGCTCCTCCCTGTCTACTGGCTCCGTCCCTCCCGCCCTCAAACTCGCCTCAGTCACACCCATCCTCAAAAAACCTGGCCTCGACCCCGACATTCACAACAACTACAGACCCATCTCCAATCTCCCTTTTCTGTCTAAAATACTGGAACGCACTGTTGCCCATCAACTGAAAACTCACTTGGACTCAAACCAACTGTATGAACCATTTCAATCCGGATTCAGATCTCATCACAGCACAGAAACTGCCCTCATCAAAGTCACCAACGACCTCCTCCTCTCCTCTGATGAGCACTCCCTCAACATCCTGATACTGCTCGACCTCAGCGCAGCCTTCGACACCATCAACCACTCCATCCTCCTTTCCCGTCTCGAGTCCTCCCTCCACATCACTGGCACAGCCCTCTCCTGGTTTAAATCATACCTCTCTGACCGTGAACAGTTCATCAGCATCAACAAATTCAAGTCTGACACAGCCCCAGTCTCTCAAGTTGTCCCCCAAGGTTCAGTACTCGGTCCCCTCCTCTTCATCCTCTACCCCCTTGGCGACATCATACGCCACCATGGTCTCCAGTTCCACTGCTACGCTGACGACACCCAGCTCTACATCTCCACCAAGTCCATCACCCCAACCATTCACTCCACCATCACCAACTGCCTCACAGATATAAAAACCTGGATGCAAGCCAACTTCCTCAAACTCAACACCGACAAATCTGAAGTCCTCATCATCGGCCACAAATCATTAAACAATTCCCACCACAACTTCTCCCTCTGCATCGATGGCATCACTGTTCCTGCCTCCACACATGTCCGTAACCTCGGGATCATTTTCGATCAAACTCTCTCATATGAACGCCACGTCAATCACATCACAAAAATCGCCTTCTTCCATCTCAAAAACATCGCCCGTCTCCGCCCCTCCCTCTCCTCAGCAGCCGCTGAAACACTCATCCATGCCTTCATCACCTCTCGACTGGATTACTGCAACAGCATCCTGTACGGCTCACCCACCAAAATCATCAAACTCATCAATCATCCAGAACTCAGCTGCCCGTCTGCTCTCCCACTCCAGCACCAGAGACCACATCACCCCAGTCCTTCAAAACCTCCACTGGCTCCCCATACAGCAAAGAATCTAGTTCAAGATTTTCCTCATCACCTACAAAGCCCTCCACAACCTCGCCCCTTCATACCTTTCAGACCTCCTGCACCGTCACAATCCCAACCGCAACCTCAGATCCGCCGACGCCAACCTCCTTACCCTCCCTACTCTGTCCAAGCATCGGACCTGGGGGGACAGGGCCTTCTCTGTTGCTGCCCCCTCCCTCTGGAACTCCCTGCCCCAACACCTCAGACATTCTCCGTCACTCGCCACCTTCAAAACTGCACTTAAAACTCACCTATTCAAATCTGCTTTTAACCTCTAAAGTCAGTCCTGTATGTTTTCTTTCTCTTCGTGTTTATTTTTTTTTTCTTACTGTTATGTTGTAGATTTTGTTTTTATTATAAATGCTTTTATTGTTTCTGTTTTTAACATGTAAAGTGTCTTTCAGTGCCTTTTAAAGCGCTATATAAATAAAATGTATTATTATTATTATTATTATTATATTACTTCAATGACTAAAGTATAGGTGAAGTAGATTTTAGCCAGTGTCATTGTAAATACGAGTTTTGCAATATTGACTCTGAGGGAACAAAATGACCTGCATTGTAACAATACTTTGCAGTAAATGCTTATCTCTGTCCTTGTTTTACATCTTCCAGTGCTCGCTATGGTAACTGGCACAAGAACAGGGGCCCCACAGAGATGAAGACGGGGCCCAGGATCATCGTCTTTATTATTGGAGGGATGACGTACAGCGAGATGCGCTGCGTCTATGAGGTCACCCAGGCCAATGGCAAGTGGGAGGCCCTGATTGGTGAGTTCAATGGACAGAAAGTCCCCCACCTTTACTGAAGAGCAGTACATTCAAACAGTCTTTTATAGTAAATGAACTTCAGTGAAATAGCACATAGAATACACAGTAGATGCAAAATGTTATTCCTATCAAGATGTCTTAAAACTAAATGTCAACATTACTGATGAAACTTTCTCTTATACTTGGATGGAATACAGTTTAAATGCATCATAAGGATGAGTTCTGAAGAGGGTTTCAGCTGGTGCAGTATTACCTCAATATGTCCCTGTGATGTAGTATTCATCACACTCTTCTTAGTGGGTTGAGGACAGCATATTGGATCCAGCCTCCAGGATGAAACGTGTTTGGATCTTGCTGATGTATCTCTTTGAAACTGTATAATGATCAGCAGAGCTTGATCTCTTTGAGAGCTGACATGTTGTTGTGACTCTGTGAGAATGGATGCAGTGTCACAGGAAGTAGAGAGAACAGCTGAATCTGCAGTTAAGATTTCATTTGGCCTTTAGTCAGCAAACCTCTCACACACTCATATTCAGCAGTATTTAGTTAAACGTCTGTCAATTGTTTTTTCTGTCATGACCAGTCTAATGTGTTTCGTACGTAATAATCAAGGATTCAGGATTCAGACCTTTTCTCCCCTTCAGGTTCCACCCACATTCTCACTCCCCCGATATACCTAAAGGAGCTTCAACACCCAGACTTCCTGGACCCCAACACCCCTCCAGAGGGCACAGAGGGCCCAGAGGAGCCACCTGCAGAATGAAAAGGTATTTGAAAATGCAAATCCTGATGTGACTTGTGAATCCCCGTGTTCCCCCCCGTCCGTCCACCCACCAGCTCCTTACCTTTGCACCGCCTGCAGCAGCTGATCCCGTTCCTCATGTTTCTTATCTTTATCTTGAAGGAATAAGTCGGTAATGTTGAGAAAAACAACAACTTGTAACACATAAGGGTAACGGTAAATATTCTTAAATGGTTATTGTGATAGTTTTATATATGAGATTCTTAGAAGTGATACATAATATAACTTACTATACTAATGTTCTACCAACATGTTATAGCTAATAAGATTAGGTGATCAGCGCTAGTTATCCAACACTTCACGGCCAGACGTATGTGAACACCCAAACAGCTTATTGGACACACATCTGTGGCTTCATCACCTCCCATCATGATGCAGCTCCGTCACCTGGTTCATGATTATGCAGATTACATACGAATCAAATATATTCATGAATGCGTTGTGAGGAGCTTTGATAGGGAATCTGCTTTAGCACCTAGTGATGACGAACTCCCTCAGGACCCTATGAGGAGGACAGGAGAGAGGAGAGAGGAAGAGAAGAAGAGGGAGGGAGGGAGAGAGAGAGGGGAACAGGAGGAGTGGTTTAGGCTCAGGCTCGGTATTTAGTGACATATGTTATGCTCAGAGCGTTTGGATGATACCTGTATAGTGTAACATAGTGCAGCGACAACACCAATTTAACTAGCGAGGAACTATTGAATTGGAGTCGAGTCAAAAAATGTTTAATTAGAATTGCCCAGAGCGTTTAACAACACAATGATGAAGAGCAAAGGGAACTGAACTAATCAGGTGAACCTTAAGATATAATCTGATTTGTTTTTATTTTTGTATGTGGAGGGGGTGGGGGGATGGCAGCAGTAGCTGTCGATCGTACATGTACTATAAAGTGTCATGGAGAAACTGCTGCCATATTTGCAAAGAATAACAAAACTGGAAAAATTTGATGTGTTACCATCAAGAACTGTGTATCAGAAGTAGACGTAGTAGTCGCAACGTCACCCATTTGTTCATACACTTCCATGCAATAAGACTTCTTTTACAACCAGAGGAGTCGCCCCCTGTTGGCCAGTAGATATATTTCAAGTTAAAGACATTTCCGCATCAGTTTCACTTTACGGAGCCGGGGGTTTTCGCCGGGTTAACATGCATCAACTCAAAGGAACGTATTCTGTGAAAGAATTGGTCAGCCAATATCAGTTTAATATTGGTAAATCAGTCTAAGTGCATTTAGGATATTGTCTGACGGGAAACTGAACTGAAAGTTAAACTGAGCTACAGGTTACTGTTTTTTGTCATCATGGACTCCAGTGGCATTGCAGAGAGCAGAGAAATATAACTTTATTGTCCTGTTTGTGTCGGTCAAATCTGTGGCTGTGCATTCAGTTATGGATATGATTTAAGTAAGTTTTTGTCAATTTCTTCAATCAATTTAACATTTATGGTGACTTTGATGAAACACGTTGGGCAAGCTTAGCCAACTCATCTCTAAATGTTACAACATGCGTAATTAGTACCAACCTACCCGCTGGTTGGTGGGTTAGGTCTCGGGGTGATTGATCTGTTTTGAAATTGTTTTGTTTTGTTGAAGGTGGGGCTTAAAATATGAACAAAGCACGCAATTCAACATCTGTTGATGCTCATAATGTAATGATGCTGTCCGTGAGACTTTAGTGGAACTAAGAACTGTGGTACATGAATTTGCTGCCTTGTATACTGAAGACAAATCTTGGGTATGGCTGCTGTTTTTGCCATAGGCAGTATGGCTATGCAGAAATCCACACATATCCAAATATGTATGCTTGAACTTCCGCCATTAACGTTAACAAAACACTGTCAGTGAAACATGAGGCATCCCTTTAATCATTTATAGGTTATTATAATGGACTTACAATACTAACCTTATGTCATTATACTGAGAAGTGATCATACATCGTCTTGTTTCTTTTAGGATCAAGTGAAATCTTCACCCTTTCTCGCCTTCTAAACGCCCTCAAAGATTGAAGCCAGAGACCAGCAGACCAGTGAAAAGGTTCCAGAGCTCCTCAACCCTCAGCCGTAACATCTAGACTCTCCTCTCCTCCCCCTGGCATCACACATCAAATATATGCTTAACTCAAAAACCAAACTATGTTTTCAGTGTATTGATGTTGATAAAATGTTATTGGACGAGATTGGATTTGTGTTGAATGTTGTCTTCTGTATATTATGGGACATTTATGTCTTTGGAAAAGTACTGTACGTGAATTAGTTTAGATGATTGGATGAGATTCTGGGATTGTGGGCTATAAATGCATACTGGACTGGGACAATTATTACACTGCTTCAGTTATAACAGAACTAGTGCTGGGCAAGTTAACGCATTCATTAATTAATGCCGACAATTATTTTATCACACCTTAAAGCATTTTTTTTTTTTTTTAATTGAAAGACAAGAGACAATACATATACATAACAACAAGAGGATGACAAGAACAGTGGGATAAAAGCCAGCAAACATCCTATAGTCAGTAGTTTTAGTGCACCTATATGCTGAAATTCACGGTAAACGCATTTAAACGGCACAGATCGGGAGCGAGCGAAGGACTTTGAAAGTTAGCGGAAAGATTAACGTGAGACAACATCCGGTTTCTTCAGACGAACATCCGGTTTTCAGAATAAGATGCCAACAAAGTATGAATTATATTCACATTAAGTATGAAACATGCTACCTGCATCTCGTGAACCAAATGTTGTTGCCCTTTTGTTCATATAGCAGTACTTTTAAAATAAAAGTGCGCAATACACTACTTTAGCGATTAATCGCAAAAAATCCATGCGATTAAATATTTTAATCGTTGCCCAGCACTAAACAGAACAAAATGTTTTTTCATGGATTAGACATATTATGTCTGTATTATCTTTGTAACTTAACTTATACACAACCTTCTGTTATTGAGCATGTCAGATGTTTAGTCGTAGTTCCTTACAGTAGCAGTCATGCCATACTGTACAAATCATCAGATTATTCTGACCTTGGAAATGCCGATGTAAAGCAACTCTGGTAGTATATGTACATTACATTACAGTCATTTAGCATAGACACTTTCATCCAAAGCGACTTACAGTTCAGATTCTATCACATTTCTACACCGTAGGCACAGCTACGGGAGCACTTTTGGGGTCGAACCACTGACCCTCTGATTGAAGGACGGCCCTGCTCTCCACAGTCGTATATGTAGCTTCATATGTAGCTTCATATTCAGCATTTGAAATATTAATATAGTCTAGTTGGATTGTCTTTCGTTTTTTGTCTCAGTACACATCTGTTTTTTTTCCTGTAGAGATCAATTTTCCTTTTGGTTCCCAGTGTTTGACTGTAATGTTGTCATTAGTTATTGTTGTGTAGTGATACTCTGTAACTAGTAATCGGCTCTTTATGAAGAGAAAAATCAGTATTATAAGTATGTGCTTGTATATCCATATCCAGGAACAATTCTGCTGCAGAATGTGTGATAGCTAATAAAATTGCTTCCATTAAACTGTTCATTTTGTGGTTTTTAAACTCTGCTTTCTCCCTTATAAGGACCTTTTAATCTTTACAACACAAAACCCTTCTATCCTTAGACCGCACATGTATCAAAAGGAAAAATTGATAATTGTGGAGTATTCAGGTCAGTGCTTTTAATTTGCACACTAATCAAATGTGGATAACCACCAAGGCGTAGTATGTATATGCAACCAGGACCCCAGACCCTCAGGGGCCCTAGAGGCCCTGATTTCACTGTGCAGCAATTATTTGTCCATTTCCTGCTGTTTATCGAGGTCCAAGTCGCAGTGGTATAGGCAACGTGGGGAAGGTCAGACATTCCTCTCATCAGCCATGTCCTCCAGCTCTCCCTGGGCAATGCCAAAGTGGTTCATGACCAGATGCATAGAATGTCTCCAGTGTGTTCTGGCTCTACTGTGTGGTTGGACATGCCTCCAGAGGGATGCATCCTAATCACATGCCAAAACCATCTCAAATGGCTTCTTTCATTGAGAAGGGGTTCAACACCAAAGTCTTTCCAGATATCTAGGCTCCACACATTGTCCCTTAGATTCTTGTACCAGATAGCTGTGTGTGAAAATGCAGCACGAAAGCGCAACATAAATTGAACTGATAAGGTCCTCAAGGTAGGTCCTGAATTTGTGGATAGCCCTGTGTCAAAATGTTATAACCCTTATCATTTCAATACATAAGCTTACGTGGTACATATTCTGTAATAAATGTTTGTTTAGTTAGATTGTTCTAAGTATAGATCTAAATTAAAAGGAGATAGGGCCTTCGCAGTTAGGGCTCCTCGACTTTGGGATGAGATCAGGCCTGCAAACTCAGTTTCTTTATACAACTCACCTCTAAAAACACACTCCTAAAAACATGCTTTTCAGATTATTATTTGATTGTGTTTTATTCAGTGTGCCTTTGTGGCACAAAGGCTGTGCCAAAGCACACGGCAGGATGTCACTGATGACACAGGGAGCATCTCAACGCTGATAGGCTATCGCGCCACAGTGTCACGCCCGAGTTGAAAAAGTTCAACTGTAGCGTGAGCGTATCCTGCCCAATGGAAAGAAGGGCAGGATCGCACCTAACACATAGAGTTAATGTCCCTCTGTATGAGTTGGAAGTGTACCTTCGGCCTTTTATCTCACCCCATAGCTGAATGATTGTCTTCCTGAGAGTCTTGTACGGCTACGCACTAGGCGCTCTCAGTAGGATGTAACCCTAACACCCCGTATGAGTAGTTACGTAGAACGTCTGTACCTTACTATTGTCTATGTTAGTTTTCTCACCATTTTTGACTAACACTGCCAAGTCTTGACCCAGGGAACTTAAGCTCCTCTGGTAGAGTCTGTCGTCACATATGTATCATACGTTTCCAGGACAGGGGAGGAGGGGTAACTTAATCTAAAAACCAGAGTCTTCAGTTTGAGTCCCAGTCTCTTACAAGTGGTAAGGCTGTGTTTTTATTAAAACAGTTACATAAAACAATTTCAACTCAAGGAAAGTCTATGTGGTGCAAAATATATCAGTATACCTGCAAGCTGTCTTCTGATAGCAGAAACGTCTCACAGGGTCTTCTATAACAGAAGGGCAATCGAGTCTCTAAACTGGGAAAAGCAGCTCTCCTTCAGAGGGTCTTCCAGTCACCCCTAAGGGTGAAGCCTCCAGTCACCTCTAAGGGTGAAGCCTCCAGTCACCTCTAAGGGTGAAGACTTTAGTCACCCCTAAGGGTGAAGACTCCAGTCACCCCTAAGGGTGAAGCCTCCGTTCTCTCAGTTGTGCAGCTGCTTGATATGCTGGTCTGAGGCTTGTACCTCCCTCAGGTTCATGCATCACTCACACATGAGTCTGCCTGTTTCTGGACCAACAACAGGATGTTTAACCGGTTTGATCCTGTTTGAACAGGATGAATTATAAGGCTTGAGTGACTGTTTTACATAAAAAGTCTAAAAAGTTATAAAAAATGTAAACAAGTTATATGTTGTGATGGTTATACTTTTATGCTTTCATATTTTTCTACAATCTCTCAACTCATTTGCAAATTTGCGTCACTCCAGTCTCATCGCGTCTGTGCATAGACTTTGTATGTAATCTACTCGCGCAAATAATTGGCGCCACGTTTGTTGTAAACGCACCTTAAAGGCTGAAGGCTAGAGAGTCTCCTCACCTTGATCTCTTCAGCTCTGTGTTGAAGGACTCTCAGCGAGGTGGGTTGTTGTCTGACAGTGAATGCTGGGACACCTGGCTGAGGACAGAGGCAGCCATCAGAGGACTGAACTTGTCTTCATGTTTACTGTTGTAAGTTTAAATCCTTGATACTGCTTTTCTTTGTGATTCTAAAGACCTAACTACACTGAATCCCACACGGACACAGTTATTAGTGAAGACGTTTCTCCAAATTCCTCCATCGACTCCTGGCTTTCTTACAGCCCTACAAAATGGTCACCTGTCCTTGATTCAAAAATGTGTATGAAGCAAAATGAGCTCATCAAAGGTAAAAACACACAGATGTTTTAATATTATATGTTACACTAGCAGTAATGTTGTAGCTGGTCGAGGTGGAGGTCTTAACGGAGAGCTGAGGCACTTTAACTGCCAAAAGCTGCAAACTGGTATTTGTTTTCTCCTCACATGTAGAGCATGTGATATTCAACAGGTCCAGCTACTTCTGTCTCCTGTTTTCATCAGCTTTGATCATTGAAATGGGATTCATCAGGTCAGCTGTATTCTATTCATGTCAAAGGAAAAACGTATTCACTGCATCTAAGACACAAACAGTCACAATGAAACGATCACCAACCGACAGAGTTGAGGCCAGTGCCTTGCTCCAGGGCAACAGCAGATGAAAAGGAGCAACAGAGCTCAATGATTTTGGATTGATGGAGACGGTCATAGTGAATCATATCTCAGTGAATCCTTTGACCCACTTCAGTTTGCATACAAGTTCAGGATACATTTTTGAAAAAGCAATGCAGCCCTTGTTTCTAATCCGGATATTGAATTTGTACGCTGTAAGCAATAACATTGTAGAGACATGTTTACGGAGTCTTGTTGAAAGTCTTTTCACTTTTAATATGTGTATGTTATGGACACATGGGGGCTAAGAAATAAAACAGACCCTCCAGAATGGCTGTGGCTCAGAGGTAGAGTGGTTCATCCTCTAATCAGAAGATTGGTAATCGAGAAAATGTCAATTTTGGTCTCATGAACGAAAGTCCAGTGTTTGTTGTTTAAGCCTGACTGTCTGTGTGAACTTCTCCTTCTTCGTACTACGTCAATTACTCTGCCGGTGATGCTTCAGGTGAATGTCTCAGACGCCGAAGGGCACTAATCAAGCCGCGTTGAAGCGTCAGGAGTGAGAACAGGTTGGATCAACGTGCACTGCCCCTATAAATAAGCAAATAAATAAACTAACATGAATTCTTCGTATGATACCTTACAAAAATGTGACTACTCATTTTTCGTGTGTTTTTCGCATCAAAGTCCAGACAATCGAGTGGGGGTAACGTGGGATTGAGTGACAGAATCGTTAGCCAGTCAAAATCAATACCGCGCCGTCCCGTAAAATTCCATTCGCCGAAATTCAAATCCCTACCCCCTGGTCCCCTACGTTAGAGTGACCCCCCTGGTCCCCTACGTTAGAGTGACCCCCCTGGTCCCCTACCTTAGAGTGACCCCCCTGGTCCCCTACCTTAGAGTGACCCCCCTGGTCCCCTATGTTAGAGTGACCCCCCTTTCTTCAGGAAACAGTTCAGAGACACAACAGGATATACGTCGAACACAGTTGAATCAAAATAAGCGGGATTTATCCGTTCTCTTCACGGAATCAGCTCACGGTGAGGTGCAGTTATGAGTTTTAGCGGTGAAGCGGTTTG